TTGTCGGCTCAGCGTGGTAGTCTGGACGCGCGGGGGTCGACATCAAAGGTGCGGGGGCCGGGGCCAGGGCCAGGGCACGCGCGGCGCACCCAGGGGCGGGGGTCAGGGTCGGCACCGGCACGCGCGGCGCACCCAGGGCCGGGGCTGGCCATGCGCCCAGGGCTGGCACCTGCTGCACGCCCAGGGGCGGGGCCAGCTCAGATTGCTCCGTGGGCGCATGTAAAGGGCCCAGCGGGCGCCATGGCACCTGCGGGCACCGGGTTGGGGACCACGGTGTTAGAGTTTCTATTGCCATTTTCTTTCCGATTGATCCCCTAGAGATAGCGGGTGTGCATGTGTGTGCACTTTTAGTGCAGCAGCCAGGAACCTACGCCAGTAAGGGGGCCGTGAGTGGCCCTGCATTTCATTGGGCTGCAAGATTGTCGGGTCTTCTGGCTTAAGAGGGTCTTGCTAACTGTGCATGCGTGCCTAGAACTTGCAGGGGGAGTGGATTGAACCTTAGCTGTGCTGTGGTTGGATCGGGAGGAGAGGGGGATGGCTCTCACAGTCAGTGTTGTGTGCAAACAGTACGCATCTCCCTTCACGTGCCTGTGCCCTGTGTGTGTCACACTACTAGTGCCGGTAGGAATAAAACACCGACAGAAACCAGCAGCATCTGGCAACCCTGTGCGTGGGCAGCAGTGAACAAACTGTCACAGCTACACACTGAACCCCAGTGGGCCGCAGGTTGCCCACCATTTTCTCAGTGTCCGGACAGCAGACTTAGTCTTCAAAAATATTCCTGGCCTTTGAAGCCAGAAGGGACCCCTGTGGCCATACGGCCTGAGCTCCTGCCTAGCAGGGAGCACAGAATTCCGGTGAATCCCACCTGGGACGGAATGATTCTTCCTCCCACTGTACAGGTGGCCTTGCCAAGCCCAGCAGCTTGGGCCTTGCCTCCACTGACCCGGAGGGCAATCTCCTAGTCAAGACGTGCTTCACCGACTGCTGATTGCACCCCCTTCGACTCGGGTCCTCCTCCGGGTCGCGAGGAGTCCGGGAAGTGAGAACAACTCTCCTGCTGACCTCCCCCGGGGGGGGGCACCGGGGACATACGAACTAAGGTCTGTTGATTCCAGCTATGCCTTAGTCCGACTGTGCTCCCAGTGTAGACCCGGCTGCGGAGTTAAACTGGAGCGTGCCGGCTGGGAAGTCGGTCAATCTTGATTTAAACGCGGAGTGTCCAGGAGCTTTGGGAAGCTGGCCAGATAGCTAACTACCCGGACCGCTTCACGAGTCCTACTTCCAGTTGGAATTTTTCCAGCGTCAGTCGGTGCTCATGGGCTCTTGTTCTGCCTTTGCCAATAATGGAAGTGGGCCTGCCTGAGACCTGGGCTTTCAGATTCTTTTTGCCTTCTGTCACCCAGTCCTAAAAAAGCCTTACTGCAAATCGGTGTTGCCGTCTGCCCTTGCAACTCAACACGCAGGGGCCAACATCCCCCCGAAGACAGACCGTGAATGGAGATGGTCCCCTTTCCCAGTGGCTCCCTCCTTAGTCTCGTTGGTCCTTCTGGGGGCCGCGGGGGGTCGCTAGCCCGGGCCGGGCGCGTGGTGGATTTGTATTTTAAAGCGGTGCTGATCCCAAAGCGACAGCGCCGGAATCACTCCTTCGGAGCCTGCTTGTCTCCTTGAGTGGCAGCTGGCAGCTCTCCCTGGCACGACCGAGTCATTACCCCATTAACTCTGCAGGAGCATGAGGCAAGCTCTTCTTGCCTCGCTTCTCCCAGGTGCAGTCGGTGGCTGTGCTCATAGGCGAGAGCCTGCAGCTGGGTGATGGCAGAGCCAGAACAGTCCAGCTGGTTCCTCAGATCCTGCCGTGAGCCTGTGTGGCTGGTGGGTGGAATGACGGGGCACGGTGCAAGGCACGCCTCTGCCCTGGGAGGCAATGCATCTGTGATGGCAGCTTGCACAGCCAAGTCATGGGCGAGAGACAATCACCTTTACCGCGGTGGAGCTGCCTCTCCACTGATGGAAGAGCTAAGGGCTAGCCCGGGGAACGCTGCAGGGTCTCTTACCCTTGGCCTCGCACAATGGGATCCGTGTCTGACCGCCTGGACGGCTCCGTGTGCGATAGCGGGAGCCCTCAGGTGGGCGTGAGGGTTTGGTGCTGGGCTGGGGAGGTGGCAGCGGTTCTGTCTGAGTGGTGTCCGCCGTTGCCTGCGGAGCTGCACTGCTGGGGCCGTGGCACAGCTGTCCTCTTCCCTAATGCATGTTCTTCCTGTCCCACTGCGCAGAGCCCTCCCGCTTGTTGGCCTCCTGCTCAGCGTGCCCTACCCCCTTACTGAGAGCCGCGTGGGAGTGGCTAACACATGTCCTCCTTTTCCGTGTGAGGGCTCTCGCTGTTCTCCAGCCTAGCTAGGACCTGGCTTCCTAAGTGCGCTCAGAACGGTGCGGCTCTGTGTGCCTAGGCAGGAGCAAAGTGTGTGTGACCATAGCATGGACTAAGCCTAATCCAGCACCAGCTCTTCCCCATGCTGCCTTGGAGGGGGCTGCTGTCTCCATGGCACGTGCCTGGAGCCCTTGGGTAAAGTCATGGGGGGGCTCTGCGTGTGTACCGGGAGGGGAGGAGATGAGGGCTGGGAATGGTTTGCTGGTAAGTGTCACCCTTTACGGGTGCCGCTTGCCGGTTACAGTTAACCGGCGGGGGCTGAAGCAGCCCTTCCCCGCGCTCCCGTTTAACCGGTTCAAGGGTCAAGCTCAACGTTTGCCTGGTGAGCTCAGGCAATGGGATTTCACCTCCCTGGGGGGATAGGCAGTGCTGCTGGAGAGGCAGCGTGTTGCTCTCCGGATGCTCACATCCGAACTGCCCACAGACGTCAGTCAGCTGATCCCTTGGGAGGATTAACTTGCAAAAATCCAATTAAAATAACCCCTGTGGATTTCTCTGAGGTCGAGTGGAAGCTTTTGCTATTCACGCCTCCAATTTCCCGTCCTGCGCTGCTATAACTTAGCAACGGCGAGCAGGGCTTAGGCCATTCCAGTGCAGCGCGTCGCGCAGGAGGTTTGGCTCTGATCGGAGTTTGGGCTACCCCAGGGCCTGTGAGCTCTCTGCTGCCCTCACCACCACGCTAGCCCACTGCACACGGGCACTCGGGGGGCGTCTACACGGCTCACGAGGCCGGGCCTGTGGATTTGGGTTTCCAAGCCCCTGCCTGAGTTTTCTCCCCGCAGCATAGATCTGGGTTTCCGGTGCTGGGCCCGTGTCTCTCAGCGGTGCTAACACCCACGCGGCCCCTTGACTCCGGGCTGCGCCTTGGCCTGCAGCCACTCTGCAGAATGGCAGGGCTCGGCCCTGAGGTGCAACAGGGCCCCGGCTGTGACCACCCCCCACTCCTGACGCATCACACTGACTTGTAGCCAGACGGAGGGCCCAGCGCCGGGCTCCTCACTTTGAAACGCCACGAGGAGCCTGGCACTGGGCTCCCCGGAGCGTTCAAAGGGGCAGCACCGCAGGGAGCAGCTGACCCAGGGTCCGTGTGGCGCTGCCCCTTTGAAGTAA